TAGTTATAAATAAGATGAATACAGGAAATAATATCAATAAGCAAAAACCCAAGTCATGGATTAATGACGTACGTTAATTAAGAAAAATTAAATTTGGTTTATTTTTAGTGAAATTAAGTATTAATAAATCATTGAAACACATACATCAGCTTAAATTTGTTATTAGTTTAACATATAATTTCAAATGCTAAGTAACTCAGAAGAGATAGAGTTCAAAACTAGAAATCCTTAAATGAGTTTTTCTATAAAAAACACTGCCTAAATTCAAGAATTAGAAAGTTAAAGTTAAGATCTCTTGGGAGGTTATAGCAATCTTGATATGCTTGAAGAAAAAGTAATAAATAGACAAAAAGTAATGGAAGGAAGTATCTTAAAAATCTAAAATAGTGAGGTAATCATTAAAATCTTACCAAGTTTAAATTTCTTAATTTTAGGAGATTGTTCAAGTATAATCTACATATATTCATTAAGAGATACAACCAAAGCAATCAAGTGAGATATTCTCAATATTCTAATTTATTGCACCCTAGCTGGGAATAGGGATCCTAACTCTACCATATGTAATACTTGAAAACGGATTAATTTTTGGATCAATGTTGTTTATTGCAGTGGAAGTGATGAATTACTAAACTTGCTTATACATTGTAGAATCCAGTATTATAAGTAAAAAGAGGAAATATGAAGAAATTTCAGAATCAATTCTAGGCCCGTAAATGAACAACTTAATTTCAATATCAGTTATAGCTAGTCTGTCTACTAACTTTATCTCATTTGTTTGCTATGTAATAATCGTGATTTATTATTAATTTTCTATTATAGCAAAAGGAGGAAATACCAATAATATTAATTGAAAACTTCTTTGGCGAAAATGTTCCTTCCTTTTTAGATAGTAGTAAAATTGGACAGATATTTTGGGGAACGGTATTCACTGTAATATATTCAGCAATTAAAAGTTTTAATAGCTCATATTTGTTTTCCCTCTCTCTTTGCCTAGAAAACTTGACTCATTAAAATTTGCATCATCTTTTGGAATTTTTTGCTGTTTATACACAACCATTATAATGCCTTATATTTTTTTAACTGACAGAGACATAGTGCCATCTATTGCAGATTCTTTATCTAAAGCTAAATTGTTCAAAGTAATCAATAAAACTTCTTAATTTATCTTTATTTTAGTTTTCTTTAAATGGTGCAATCAATTCATTTCCCATGATTTTTTTCTTACTCGGCAATTAACCTAGTATCCCTATGATATATAGTGAGATGAGAGGTAAAAGCATCAAGAAAATGAAGAGAATTATGATTTTTGGAACTATACTATCAACATCGTTGTTTTTACCGGTTGGAATATTTGGTTATTTGATTTTTATTGATGATGAAACTGCAATTAGAAGGCAAAATATCCTACTTGCTGACTTCGGAAATAGAAAATCAATATTCTTGGTAATAATAGATTAAAATTCTTAATGTGTTTAGGCTAACGTTGTATAAATTTTTCTGATTTTAGCGATCAGCCCCTTAAGAATTCTACCATAAAAGCAAACTATTGAATAAATGGTGATGAAAGGAAAAGTTATGAGCTTTTCTTAAAATTTCATATGCACTCTGGGTTTAATGATAATTTGTCTTTTTTCCGCCTTGTTCATTCCTTCAATCGGAGAAGCCATATACATTAAGGGATACACAGCTGATCTAATGGTAATAAAAATTAATTCTAATTTACGATAGATATCTTATATAATTCCTGTGATTTTTTATTGGAAAATTCACGAAGACAAAAGTATAATTTCAAAGGAGAAGATGATTTCAGGATTTATTATAGTATTTGTAGTACTTATAAGCATATCAGGACTAATAAAATATATTCTATTAAAATTAATTTAATGAAAATGGCAAAAGGCATTCTCATAACTCTCAATGCTTTTGAACATAAAGCTGATAGCGTCATTTATAATAGATTATCATTTTAATAAGTTTAAATAATTCTCATTTACTGTTATTATAAAAATACTCATAAATTACTAATATTAATTTAGTTCAAATTTTCATCAATTTTTTGTTTTTAAGCATCTTGGGGTTTTGGGGTTTTGGGG